AAATTTCGATTGCCAGGCTGTTTTCTTCCTCACTGAGAAAGTGAAGTCTTTTTGGAAAATATTGATGATTTCACAACTTCTTGCTTTTATTTAGGTTCAATAATATGTAAATATTCATATAAGTGTACATTTTTTTGTAATTAACGCTTACTTTAACTCCAAACGTAATAAAATTGGCAGGGGCCTTATAACACATGCCCAGTTTAGGAAGGCCAAAAATCGATGTTTTGAAAAATGATCAAAATTGTAACTTTTTATTGTCAAAATCATAAAAAATCATATAGGTCAATTAATAGTAAATTTTGCTATACGTTGCAAACGTTGTTTTACCTGAGGGTGATAAAATAAAGGTTTTATTTCGGTTTGTTGTTAGGTGGGCCTTATTACCCGGGTCTACCTTATTTCATGTATTTCGACCAGCGTTTCTTGGGAAAAGTTGTCCAGTTTTATGGGCTGGTTCACTCCTTAAAATAATTACAGTACCTACAGTTGTTTTTTTTTTGACCTTAAGTATATTTAAGTATACACCTTAACCAAATATTTACATACCTAACCATCATCTTTTATCTCTACTTACGCTACTGTAGAATTCCATCTATGCCATGCATAAAAATATTGCGATGAAATATCTCATTAGCAATATGTTTAATATGGAAATTTGTAATGTGTCTTAAACTTATTACTCGTTATTCATTAAATTACGTAAAATGCAGATACGGTATTTTCCAGCAGCGGTCAACGCACCATAAGAAGATCGCATCAATTACCGTTTAGTGACTAACCGGCTAACGTAACATTTGGAAACCCGCGAATTTTTGACCTTACCCAATATATTTGAACACGTTATGCTAATCTATCTACCTACTGATCGTTTAAAAAACCTACATGCTTACTTTCCGTCATAATATTGAATGGATTTGTTTTGTACGAGAAGTCCAATTATTTTTCGTATTATGACCTACGTCCCTTGGGGAAAGTTGTTCAGTTTCACGGACTGGTTCACCCCTTAAAATAATCCCAGTACTTTTCCTAACACCTTGTATATAAAGTACAGAGACCGGTTATTAAGATTAAGTCCTTATTAAGGGTGTCCAAGACTAAGTAAATCGGTGACATAATAATAAACAAGTAAGTACATTTCATAAGTAGGTAGCTCTCTCTGTAATGTTACCTACATTACGTGTTATTGAAATAAACAGTTAAGGTTGATACTCTTATTGGTAAGGTTTTATAAATGCATAAGCAAGAAAAATATCGAGGCTGTCTTCGATAATGTGTAAAGTAAATAGTAGTTTTTAGGAGTAAAGTAGGTAAGTAATATATATAGGGTGAAATTTTACTAGTGACCGATAGCGAAAACACAGAACCGGCTGGTGATAAGGAACAACTTTCCCCAAGGAACATAGGTCGAAAAACGAGAAAAAATTTTGGACCTCCCATAGTAACTGAAATCAGCTGATTGGCAAATTTGTATGGGCGGTCCAAATTTTTTTTACGGATTTCGACCTATGTTCCTTGAGGAAAGTTGTTCCTTATCACCAGCCGGTTCTGAGGTTTTGCTATCGGTCACTAGTAAAATTTCACACTATATTTAGGGCGAGCTCGCTATTTTGAATCACGAGCGGAACAAAGGATTCCAGAGTAAGCTCCGAGGCATGAAGAATTTTGAATAAGTATTTGTACAAAGCTTTGTTTTTTTAAATAGGTACAGGGAATGAAATATGAAAATATTTTGTTATAACTTAAAAAAGGTGTAAGAAACGAAACAGAATGTAACAGAGCATTTGGCTGCTGGCTGACAGAGATGAATGGAAGAAGACATATTGCGCCGCCGACCACAATGAAATTGGGATAAGGCAAGAGCATTCAGAAAATGAAGTTGTTTCCTTATAATATCTTATGTATGAAATACTGGAAACTTATACCCAAGCGGTTTGTAACCTATTCGTCATGGATGTTACCTACTGAGCTAGGTAATAGGGTACTAGGGAAACAGGCTTAACGGGTAGAAAGCGCTACATTACGTCACAGCCTTGTAGGTAGGTATATAGGTATCGATGTACAGGTATGGCTTAGCTTCTATTGAGACACTATTGAGAAAGAGTTTAGGTAAACGTGGTTCAAGCATCTAGACTTCCCGGTTCATACTGCTTCTGTAGTTGAGAAAATTTCTGTAACATTCATCTTTTAAGGTGAGGCTAGTCATAAAATTCCATTCAAATTAAGGTACGAAGTTTTATCATACAAAGAAAAACTGAAATACAATCGACATAAAAAAATAAAAAGCTATTTGAAGTGATAAATGCACACGTAGTCGCAAAACTACTTACTTGATGTTAAAATTTAAATAGTATTTCGTCTTCAATAAAATCAAACTTATTTATAGCCGCAATAGCTTCATGACAGTATCGGTGATAATTGGCGAATTGGTTTTTACAGAGAAACGAGATGGTTAAAAATATATTTTTATTATCATTCTTGAAAATGTTAAATAAACACGGGACTTCCCATCGAGTTTTTGATCTTGCTTTTGTCGCCATTACAGACGTAAGTCCATTTAAGTATTAACAATTGAATAAGAAACGTCCCACCTTAAAAGATTTCTATATATTTTCATGTGCCCGCCATTCTATCTCTTCTCATTCATTTATCATCATTTGCTGTAATACAAATCAACTCCTTTCAACACTTACACTCGTTTGACCAAACACCAGCTTTGCTTAGCCAAACAAGGACAACTGGTTCACTTTTACTTCGAAGAAAGACGACCTCAAGTCAATAGACTGATTTGATACAGTTTTTGAATAAGACACGACCAAGACACGAAAGTCTTTCTACGAAGACTTTGTGAAGAGCTATTTTATTATATTCCTCTTTGAAGATAAATTGCATGAACGTGGATGGACACCATTCAAAACATCAAATATCTATTACCAACAAAGCAACCAAGCTATCTTTTATCGCCGGTCAGTTTAAAAGTAGGCAAATCTATTATGTGTGTATGCCGTGTGATGCCGGCTTGGCATCACCCCATTCCTTTCCTGTGGGTAAGAGATTATACTCGGGGGCTACATTTGAAGGCTGATTTCATGCATATTTCATGTGTTATCCTGACAATTTTAGGCCACAGTGATACAAGATTTTTCTGAAAGTAAGTAGCCTCTAATATTTGTCAGACCTGGCGGTAGCGAGTGGTAGTAAATATAACAATATAAACTAGGTAAATTTTATTAAGCGAAGGGCCCAGCTCTATTTCGCAAAAGCTAATATCGAAAGGAACGTTCAATAATTCGGTTGCGTTATTTTATCGAAGCCTGCACCAAATGAAACCACAAAGTTATAGTAAATTGCAACATACACCCTGCAGGTATTTTGAAGGGACTACCTAACTAAGGTCTGAACTAAATCCCTACTACAGATCGGTCAAATAATAGCTAGGCTTAGCTTCGGGGTACCTACGTTATGAAGTAGATACTAGCTATGAATGTTCCGTATGAAAAGCTTAGAAAAGTTCTTACTTCCACAACACAATTCGTAATTTTCAAAAGGTAGGTATCTAACGTTGATAAAATCCGTATGTCGCGGGACTTTATTAGGGACCACTTGTAAATATTATGCTGGAGATTTCTCGTACCAATTATCAGCTATTCGACACACCTTTGACGGCGTAAAAAGCGATAATGTGCCTTTTCAGCTGTGATACGGTGACAAGAAATCAGGAGCCTAAGGGATATGAACCACGGATAAATTTAGGGAAGCTGTAGAGCATGACCCCGTGAATACCTTGCACTGCGCTTACTACCAAGGTCATGTTATCATGTATGCAGTTGATGATGCTGGACTGGTTTTCGATCACAAGCTCTCCTTAGCCGGCGATTGCGGTGCGGTTGCCTCACTGCACCGTGTTTCGCCAGTATCCTTGACCACTAGACGGGTTTTAATGCTCTCAAATCTCAATGCGCCAAACCTTTCCAAATATATCTATATCTCGGCTATAATTAGATGTTTGTTCAATGTTATTAAACTATCAGAAACCTGTTGTAGTGTAGGGTCATTGGATTCCACCGCCTGCCTTTGAATGACAATTTCGCAGAAAATCTTGAAACCTATTCTGCGAATTTACGCACGGCGGTAGCCGGTACGAAAGTAATTTGTGCAGGTTACGTAATTAATTAGTATTTACCCCACTGCCTCAGGAGGGTTATGTTTTTTGAGAGTATGTATGTGGGTATATGGGCATGTAGGTATGGATGTAGACAATATATAATCTTTTTCACGGGTTAGCCCAAACGGCTGGGCATATTTTGACATAAATGAGGTGTCGTTAGGTTCGTCTGCAGCGTGAGTGGCACTGATCGGATTTTCATCGCAAATTACAATTTTCAAATTACCACAGTCGGTAATTTAATACATCTGCTTGTTAATTATTTTTTTGTTCATGATCATGATTGTTCCGAATTATGTATGACAATTCTACGAAATAACTTTGAATTACGCGAATTTACGTGCACCGTACGTAATTTGTGGGGTGGGTTGTAGGTAGTATTTTGGGTGAGTTGTGCAACAAGCGAAATTATAATAGGTAGGTAATGAGAAAAAACTGAGATAGGAACACAACTTTCAAGAACTTGTACAGTTTCTAAATCCCATTGTGAACTTGCAAACAAATTGTATGCTTGAGTTCATGTCACGCAATCAACAGTTACAAATTAAAACGTGAGATTCACGAGAGTAGGCATTGCATTACTTGCATTACAGAGACATTTTAGAAATACTTTTGGAATCTGCTCGCTTAGTGTTCAGTCGCGCGTAATGTCAGTGAAGATTTTGTACTTGAGTCAAAATTACGTGACTGAATTTTCCATAAACATACCTATGTATGACTTATGACTTATGTTATGACCTATGACCATCCCCTTTTGACGTGCTTGGATTTGTAATTTATGATTTTATTTCATTCTAATAAAATTTAAATAACATAATATTTTGAAATAATGTCATGCATCGACCGGGGCTCGAACCCGGGCTGCATGGGGTACCATCTCACCGTTCTGCCACGGAGCTATCGATGCACCGATCGCTGCCTGCCAAATTTCAATCACTTAATGTTCGTCTCTACTTTGTTATAATCCTCTTTTTCACCACATGTAATTTCTTTTTCTATTTGTCCTACTTTTAAAGTTTTTATACTTCTTTCCTAGTACTACTGAAGTAGGACAAAGGACTTTCTCCGCGTAAATGGTCCTAGCACTTCGATCAACGTTTGCAAACAAATACCGGTATTTAGGGTTGCCTCTATATTTTACGCCGGTTGGTGCCGGCTGAGAATAGCATTAGGTACCCTATATTTTTCCCGTGGGTGTCGTGATTGAAGACAGGCTGACAACCTTTCGCAATGGTGATACATTCTTCTGATCTGAGTGACTCTCAAACTTTTAAAACCGTTTTCATATAAAATGTATGAAACAGAAGAAATAAAGCTACACACACACTACACACGTGAGACGGACGTCACATCCCATCAATAACGGCTGACGATCGCTTGTCTGACAGATGTCATGTTGCGCGTCGCGTCGTGCATCTATTCTGTGGAACTTACTCCTAACGACCCGCTTACTTCCGAGAAGCCACTTACGGTTTTATGATAGAGTACATTTGCCAAAATAAGCAAGTTATAACTCGATTTTTATAACAGCTGTGGCCTGTGCGCATGGAGCTGTCAAAAATCCCATGCGATTTGACAGTTCAACTGTCAGATCCCATACATATTTTGACAGCTACCATGCGCACAGTTATAAAAATCGAGTTATAGCACTGTCCGTTCGGCAGCCCTACCGATATTGTTTGGTGTTACGCAAGCTGCGCCAGCGCATAGCCCCGATCGACGTCGCGGGGACACGTGCGATCGCCACTGTTACATTACGATACAATAGGTAAACAAACAGACGGTTCCGTCAGTCAATTTAGATGAATGAAACCGCATCTTGGATTCGCGCGATATGTGCTATTTTAATATTCTAATAATCACATCACACAAATCAGCAAGCACTGTCTTTTACTTTAAATAGAGAGGAAATATTTGTTTTGATGTAATCATCTCCGATACATTTTAAATTTGAACTAAGTCCGTTCCTGACAAAATGCTTACACAAAATAACAAAAGTACCTATTCTTAGCCATTTTCCTTTAAAAAGCGTTTCGCCGCTTTACAAAAATACTCAAATGGAGCTGATAAAAGTGATAAATAAAAATACTTTTGATTTTATTGTGGAAGAAAATCCTCGTTATCTTTTAACCGTAAGTAGTTTTGCGACAAATTTCTGTGTGCCTTCATCATATTACATAAAGTTTTTTGGAAAATGAACTCTGCAGCTCATGTCTAAGTCGATAGAAGTTCAGTTTTTCGTTTCTATGACGTGACGTTTCACCTTAAATAAAATTGCTTAGCGTGTTTTCGATTTTACCTACCAACTAACGGTTTTCTTGTCTTTATCACCTCTATTGCGTCTTGCGACCACAATCTCTTCGTTCACATTTCGTAGAAAGCCCTTTTACAAAAGAAAATTGCTATCTTGCGATAAACACAATATTAATCAATGAATTCCATGAGAGTTATATGAATTCCATGGAAACAGGCTCGAAAACGTGATAATTTATCAATAAGTATTGTATTGGTGATATAGGTATGATTGAGTAAGATCGAAAGATAGAGTGAGGTGCGTGCGAAATATTTACTAAGTTAGCACTTAATTTATTTAGTAACAAGTTTTTTTAAGATAAAAGGGTAGGTATCTATTTAGCTATTGAGTACCTATTGAGATAATATATGGTGCAAATGACCACGGTCCTTGTCTAGAAGGAAATTAATTCAAATAGATAGAGCGTAAAATTTGGCAATTATCAACTTCACTGAGAACGAACGGTGCATACCAAATACCAACCATGGAAAGGACTCTATGAGGCTAGGTCGCCGTATTATAGTAGGTAGACATTTTAAATAAGGTGGCGATTTGCTGCTAACATTGGTCTAGACTAGACTGTAGCCTAGACTCTAGGTTTGAATAACGTTTGAACATTACCATTCACGAAAGTAAAATATGATGCACGAATTTACGAAAGACTTAAAATGACTGCTCTGATTGCTATCGAGTTTTCGGCCAAATGCAACGCTGATGTTTATGCAGACTATTACCGGCATATTTGATCCTTTTGCCAGTTTGTGTTAATAAGCTACAGTTAGCCCGTCAAAGTGTTGCTGATTTGACAGCTGATGATGTTCCATAGTTATTAAAAACCTGACATTAATAATTTGCAAGCTAGTGTTAATAAATGTCGATGAATATTAATAACCTAATTATTAATGAAGTACAACGGCACAACTGATAGAGTGCAATGTTATTTATTAGGTAAGTACCTAACTATCATAAATTAATCAGTGACGAGAAGCATTACCTATGGTAAAAAGCGTAGAGATGATTTCTTTCAACAAAACTACTTATATCCTGTTTTTTACTATAAAAAATCTATTAGGTAGGTACTTATACCAATTAGCCTTAGTTATCCGTATTTAAAGAACTACAATACCTACTGGGTCTTATACTCATATTTCTTGAAACTAAAAGGTTTCGACCAAATGTCTCTTACATTCTAAAAATAGAAGGTTTTTTGAAACAAAAGTGCGCGTATTTTATGTTGCGTGAAGTTTCATATTGTATGTGTTAAAATGTAAAATAATGTTACCTTACATGGAAACTTACAAACACAAGGTTTGTAAATAAATTATGGAGGTCTAGGTCTAATTAAAATACGTATCTTATTCCATTTTAAATTCAAAACCGACTTTCGAATACAGAATGTTGACCTTTGATTTAGCATAATTAAGCATCCTTTTTCATGGGTCCCATACATTTTAAACTCCTCAAATGTAGTCTGCGACAGCGGCGTAAAGTTTTAAATATTTTTATATCTTACTGAACCTACAGAAATACCTAATAAATAATATTGTTTTTGCAAAATCAAGGGGTAAAACCAGCTCATGAAACTGAGTAACTTATCCTAAGGAATACTTTCTCTAGTCATCATAATCATAATAAGTGAATAAGTATGAGAAAATATTTTTGACCTCCCATACAATTTCATTCGTTTGATACTATAATATGTCCAAAAAAATTTCATATTCAAACGCGAGTAGTTAAATTAACCTAGTTTTAAGTCCTGTACGAGTACCCACTGAGTATTACCAAAACCAAACATAGGTACATGTCAATATCAAGCCTATATCCCTGGCGAGGAAGACTTTAAAAAGCTGCCATTTACATCACGTCTGACAAAAGTTTGAGAGTTATTCAGAAGACTGTGTACAAAAATCAAAATAGCAAAGTAAACAAACAAACTTTCATTATGGGATCCGAAACGTTCCTACAAACCCAAACCTGAACCACACAACACTCAAACACAAGCACAATCAGGTCGTTCGTCGACTCCTTATCACACTGTAAAATACTGGAAAACACACCGGATAGATTCAAGATGACATTGTCGCCGGCGCCGGTAGCGCGGGAAACGAAGGCTAGGGACAGAAGAAGCACGAGGGGCGCGCGCGCTCGCTCCATCGTGGTGGCGGACTGTGGTCTGCGCAAGAGCGGCCCGTCGGTCGCCGCTATGTTGCGATAGCGTAGGCTGGCCGCTGATGGGGGGTTTCATCCAAGATTTTATGCGGAGATGATTGAAAGATATCGATTCAGTATTGTAATCTCGCGGGCATTCCCAAAGGCTGAGACAGTTTCGTGGGCGTTAGATTCCCAAACAAAAACTGTTGTTGTAAGGGCAAATCATCATAAAATGAAGAAAGTAAAATGATTCCAAAACGTCAAGCGTGCTTTCGTGTCACATACCTATCTCTAAGATATCTTTGGGTTGCTTGCAGCCTCGTATGGTTAGGCGTGAACCCTATTCAAGAGAAAGAAAATGGGAAAACATTGTTGCTCGCCGTAAATTGGCTTTAAAATATTGCTATAAACGAGAGAGAGGTTCATAAATAAATCTATCATCGAATCCCCGCTACATTGTAGATCTAAGAAACATCGTAACAAAATCAACCTAATGTCTTCTATGTAAGGACCTGAAACATAGCAATGTTTGGAGATTGTTGAATTAGTACCTACGGCATCCTACGGTATCTGTCATTAAAATAAGTATGTATTTAAATTATCTATCGTAAATAGCTACCTACCAACATAAACAACTTCGTAAATAATGCGTCACTTATGTAAGTGTTTGAAAGGCAGGATTATTTCGAAGATTTACCCCTAAAAAATCCTCTAAGTAGATAATCTAGATACTTACCAATATGTAGATGATGTACCTGCCAAAATAGATGATTTTTTAAGATCTATAAAATCTTAAGTAGATGAAAATCAAAAATGTCGACGAAATTCCAATAGGTACCTAAGTACTAGTAGGTACATACATGAGCCTAAGCCCAATAAAAAAACTAGTTCCTTTCCTAAAGTCCACTACCACCTTCTAGATAGGTACTAGATGTAGTGTGGCAAGCCGATGGCATGCACGGGCAGGCTGTATCTACGACTTAAAAGGAAAAGTAAGGGTGCGGTGCCGGCTTAGAATAGCATCACTCCATATCTTGCCCGTGCGTGTCGTAAGAAGTGACTAAGGGATTGGAGAGTCAGTATGCTGATACACAGCCTTCTGAATGACTCTCAAACTTTTGTCAGATGTGGTGCAAATGGCCGTTTACGCTCTGCCTACCCCGCAAGCCATATAGGCGTGTTATATGTATGTAAGTAAAGTATTTTGTACACAATAATTTTTCGGTTACAAAGTTAATACTTACAAACGAAACAAGTGGAAAAAACTCACTCACTCCGATGGATTTCGACCCACGTCTTCTGACAAGCCGGGTCAGACGTGTTTACCGCTACACCACGGAGGCTCTAACCCAGGCGTCGTAATTGTGAACTGCTTGCTTCTTTTATATATTTTAGTAACTTGACTACCTACTAACGAGTTATTTTGTACACATTGCGGTATTAGCCGCCGCTTAGCAAACCCA